AATATAATAATTTTAAAAAAATTTTCATCTACCTCAAAATTTAAATTTAAATTCTTTAAAAATAAAGATTCCAACCCTTAATAATTTAAGATGTCTCTAAAGCAATAGTAGAAAGAAGTTTAGAAAGCAAAAATTATCACTTATTATTATATAATGCATCATGAAAAAACCGAAAAGGAAAAGGGAAATTATTATTAGAGCATCGAGGAGGGGAAGTGGGGCTTTGTTATCATGAGCTGTCTTAGTCCATTAGATGTTATGCTGAGCTAGTGAGCTGTGTGTCTTCATCTGCCCCATAATTCTCATCTTTCCTGTCCTCTCAGCCACATTATTTTCTTGCACCCAATTTTACGTCCTACGCTCTAATGATTCATGTCTCAAGTTGGAAACTTGACCATTCTTTCTAAAATCTGCATTAAAGCCAACAACAATAACCTGACAAAGTGTTTCATGTATCATTACTTTTAAAGTTGTAATATTTATTCTCCTCTTCTGAAAATTCCCTCTGTTAAAAACTAAAGACATTATGGCTATTCCACATGACAGATTGAATGTTATATTGTATGACTTAAATTTGTTTTAGTAGTTGTAGTTTTTTTATTTAAATATTTAATTTTAGAGTTTTTTATTTTATTTTGATTTATATAATGGTAGTCAATTTTTACAATTTTTTAAATGAGTAAAGGTGTAAGAATGGATGTCAATTTTACAATTTTTTTATTTAAACATGTTAATTTTATCAAATTTTAATATTTTTATTTAAATATGCTAATTTTCAATATTTCAATTAAAAAATTCATTTACCGCATTAGCATTATTATCCAATTAATCATTAAATAGAAAAACTTAAAAGTTGACATTCTTAAAGAAAAAATATTGAAAGTTGATATCTTTATTTAGAAATTGATAAAATTAATATCTTTAAATGAAAAATGGTAAAATTGATAATTTTTTTCACCTTTACTCTTTTGAAATTCATCACTCGTTCATCATTTAACTTGAGTTTAAAATTAATAACTCTTATTTTTATTGTCAACAATCTAAATAGTTTAGTAATTTTTTTTTACTAAAAGTAAAAAATTTTGAATTCAAATTACATAATATATAAATAAGATGAGATAAGAAATAAAAAATAATCATACAACTAAGATTAGAAAAAAAAAAACTCCAACTTTTATTAAGAAAAATTATCATCAAACTATTTTTCTAGTCGGTGTACCACTAATGGAGTAAAAATCAAAAGAGATGGGAAATCAAATGTGAGAATGTGAGTGCTTGACTATACATCACTCCATTTTGCCAGTTCATGATTTGGGGATGCATCGATCAAAAATCTGTGCTTGGCTGTTCATCAGTACTACTGGCAATTAGCTCATGAGCAAATTCCCATAAAAGACAAGATGTTTAGCATGACAGTGAAAAGATAGATTTAAAAAACAAGGGTAAAAAGAGATTTGTGAGTGGAGACACAGGCGCCTGGGAGGAATTCCATACCCACCAGTCCACTACTATTTACAAGACCTATTTTCAATTCTGGCTTCTGCAAACTGCAGTTTTCTTTTTTTTTTTGTCCCAACATGTGGTTCATCTACACTTTTTTACTGCACAAACTTATTCAGCAGGCGTCTGACTGTCGTGAGACAGTCAGTCTGCTTAATTACTTTTAAGCACTGTGCCCTGTTACTGCGGTTATTTGTTAGTAGAGGGAAACGAAAAAAGAGGTAAATACTGCAAGGGCAATCTAAATTGGAAGATAAAAAGTTTTTAAATAAGAGATAAATACTTTATATTTAGAGTTTTTCCTCATCTACTATTAAGTATGTATTATTTAATATAATTTAAATTATATAATATTTTTTAATAAAAAATAATTATTATCACATATAAATATATTAAAAATATTATAATTACATTTAATTTTACTGTCAAAATAATAAATAATTAATAAAATAATTAACATATTATTTTTTTACTGATCCTTAGATATTTTATATTCATATTAAATGTTAATTCATTTAAAATCGAATCATATTAGACTCCCTAAAAAAAAAACTCTTTCAATATTTGTTTTATTCATCAAATTTAAACTCAAAATTTTATTTGAAAAAATCAAATTTCTTTTACTTTTACTAACAGATGGTAGGTACAATTAATATATCATTAAAAAATAATCAAACCTATAAGCTAGTGTTTTTAAAATTTCTAATAAATTATGGGCAATTAACGGCCTATTTGGTATAATGGTTTTTGGGTAGTGATTAATGATTTTACGTAAACCGCTAAATATTGGTAAATTTATACATTTTAAAC